TTTTAGAAGCATCTTGACTATTTTTTGCCTTTTGTCCCTTTGATTTGAAATCTCTTTGTGATTAGGTATCCAGGAATCAGGAAAAAAAAATAAATTTAAAAAAATTTCTTTGTCAAGTTCCTTAAGTAAATGAATAGGGATTGTTACTAGCATTGCAATGAATTTGACTGAAGTGGGGAAAACTGATATCTTTCGACAGGATCTTCTGATTATTCATGAATTACACCAAGCTGTTAACCAGGGTTAAGTGGATAGGATTGTAAAAGTTCACTTTGTTCCTTATTTATCTGTCTTCTGGTTTGTTTTTCCTTTAATAATCACGTCTACTTATTGAATATATTATATGTAGTAAATTGCTTGTAATGCAATTAACTGTCAACAATTATATTTACTTTGTTATATACTTCAAAAACATATTTACTATTGTCTTTTTTAATATACTTTTTAATAGTCTTATTTTTAAAAAATCTTATTGTTCTATTGATTACTTGGAGAGGTATGGTAACATCTCCCAATACGGTGAATTTGCTTAAAGTCTCTTCGCATGTTTTTTTCTTTTCTTTCTTTATCCTGGGCTTGTGAGTTGGAAGAAAAAAGTCTCTTTGTAGTTGTTAATTTTTGCGTTATGTATTTTGAGGCTCTATTATTATGCATATATAAGTTCAGAATTATCTTTCTGATGATAGAACCTTACACCATCACGTACCTGGCCCTCTTTACTTCAGCAATGCTTTTTTACCTTAAAGTCTATTTTATGTGATACTAATGTAACTACACCAGCATTTTTTTTTTTTTTTTTTTTTACAATGCTATGACTGTGCTAATACACCAGCATTTTTAGGCTTGGTATTTGCCTAATGTTTTTTTCATTCTTTTATTTTCAACCTCTCATATACCTAGTTTTAGATGTTGTATAAGAAGCATATTCATGGTTTTGTTTCTCTAACCATTCTCATCACCTCTGTCTTTCAACTGGAATATATGATCATTTAAACGTAATTGCTGCCATATTTAGATTTACTTCTTTTTTTTTTTTTTTTTTGAGACAGATTCTCACTTTGTTGCCTAGGCTAGAGTGAGTGCCGTGGCGTCAGCCTAGCTCACAGCAACCTCAACTCGTGGGCTCAAGCAATCTTCTGCCTCAGCCTCCAAGTAGCTGGGACTACAGGCATGCACCCACCATGCCCGGCTAATTTTTTCTATATATATTTAGTTGGCCATTAGTTTCTTTCTATTTATTATTATTTATTTATTTTTTTTTTGAGACAGAGTCTCGCTTTGTTGCCCAGGTTAGAGTGAGTGCCGTGGGTCAGGCCTAGCCTCACAGCAACTCAAACTCCTGGTTCCAGTGATCCTCCTGCCTCAGCCCCCCGGGTAGCTGGGACTACAGGCATGCACCACCATGCCCGGGGGCTAATTTTTTTTTATATATATATATAAGTTGGCCAATTAATTTCTTTCTATTTATAGTAGAGACGGGGTCTCGCTCCTTGCTCAGGCCTGGTTTTTTGAACTCGCCCTGACCTTGAGCAATTCCCCCGTCTCGGCCCTCCCCAAGAGCTAGGATTACA